TTTCTGAGGCTTCCTCACGAAAATGATGAAAATGTAGCTGCGGCCTAGGCGGCGCAGGGGGGGCGCGCACCAGGGGGCCCAACAATAATTATTCTTTAGAATAAATAATGTTCAACAACAACACCAACATCTGTAGCAACAACAACGAGAGAGGCAACAACGGAAGGATGATTCCAAGATGGACAGACCCAACAGGGTTTCGAAAGGATCACGAGATTGCCCCTGTCGCCCCAATATGCCCACCCTTGCTAAGCAATGGCCCCAACATGACCCCAGAGCGACCCTGCGGCCCCAAGAAAACACCGAGACGAATCCATTGTCTTCCGACTGAACTAAGGCTACCGCGTGACCCCGATGTTCGGTGGCCCCAGGACGAACCCATAAGCCCGAAACGACTTCGATATTCCCACAATATGACCCCTTCACAGTTTATGTGACGACCCCAAGATTGTGTCAATATGGCTCCAATGTGACTCCGATGCGTTTCTTTCTCATGCCATTGCTCTGGGCCTGGGCCGATAGGACGGATGGGGGTGCTGGCCCTCCGCCCCCTCGTCGTCGTTTTCATCCTTCTTTCCCCTCGTCCTCGTCGCCCTCGTCGTCGTCGTCGTCGTCGTCGCTGTCCGCCTGGCCCCCTTGGCCCCATACACAGCAAAAAACCGAATCCCGAACATAAACCGAATCCATCCATTCTCTGATACTGACAGTCAATGTGCGGCACTCGGGACGCCGCCAGCAATTCGGAAGACTGTCATTTGGATTTTGCACGTGACGTTGGTGTTGACAACGGGAAAGCGCCACCATTTGCGTTTAAACATGTGACACGGCGAATTCGGCTAACAGCTCACGTAGACGATTGAAGTTTATCGACTGTTGACATGGATTTTGATTAATTCGGACAAGAACGTCGAAGTTAAACTTCGGGGCAGGCTCGGGCCAGGACGAGAACATTGCAAGCCAATCAGGATCCTCAATAGAATTGTGGAGTGGAGCCGGGATGTGTTTTAGCGTGAGGCCGATCACTGGCATGCTGAAATATTTGTCACAGATCGAGGTCAGGAGTTATACGAACTGAGATGTGAAATGCCGGGTGAAAGCAGCTTCGCGGAGGACGAGGAAGGGCCCCTACCAAAGCGCGAAGTTAACACATACCAAGCAGTGTGGCGCGAGCCAACTATTTGGCACATTACCGTTCAGACATACAGGTTTCAGTGAAGGAACTTGCGCGCACTATGTCAGCCCCGGCCCGAGTGGCTTGGAAGATCTCGGAAGGCCTTCGAGACGCTTGGCAAGTACGTGAATATCCACGACAGGTGTGGATATCAGTACTTGTGCCAGGAGCGCCCTCAGGAGTTACCGTGCGGGTCGACGCTGAGTATGCTGGATGTAAGACGACACGTGGATAGCATTGGCGTTATACCATGGAGAAACGGAGTAGTATGGAATGGTGAACGGTGGATCAGTAGCGTTAGGACAACAGGCAATGAGCGTTAAAGAGTGATGTCAGTACGGTCAGTTAGCCGAGCCGGCGAGGATTAGGTCAAATCAGGCACATCGAGGTTTGTCAGTTTTGGCTAAAAGGGAAGGTGCGACGAGGAGACATCAAAGTGACCAAAGTAGGTGCACGCGAAAATCTTGCAGACGTTTTCACAGCGTATGTTCACAGGGACGATCTGTCCATGCACATGTGTGGTACCAACCACATTGTTGGCGGACGGCACGAGTTGCGCCCGCTACGGATTGCTAGTTCAACCCATTTCCGGCGTTTCATCGCGTGCCGCTTTGGCGGGGATTTAAGCCCAGGATCAGTTGAGACCCAGGTGTCGTCTACGCACACTTCAGGTCACGCGAGTCGTTATGCATGACTTGTTGTTTTGCGGCAGTTAAACATTGTGTATCGCGTGTAAGGAAACCCCTGCACGTGTGCGTTCAAAGCATCGCCGTCTGTTGCCTGGGCCAAGTATGCCACGGGCCATTTATGCTTTCAATTGATGTACACATTTAGATTCGCCGCGGTACGTCTTGTAGCTTCTGTTTTAACCGTCGTGATTGTCTGTTGTCCTTTTTTCACACGCCTACATCAGCTAGTTCGCACCCGTCCTGCTCGCTTTATATTACCTCTGCACCCTTTGTCCCGTGCGGACAAATTTGACCGAGGGGGATGTTAGAACATGACAGTGCGATTGGGTTAGGAGCATGGCCACGCAACGCAGAACAACTTGTAGAGTTAGCGCCGCGGGCAGGAGATATTTCGTGACAGTTCGGTGCCCAACGCCCGCCGGCGCGTGGCTCAAATACTGCTTGAGTCCAACGAAAAATGATTCTTCAAGCTTACGCCACATCCGCCGACCCCTTGTTTTTTTTTCTGGGGCGATCGCCGGTTTTGGGAGGGGCTCTGTTGGAGGCTCTGTGAGGCGGCCGGAGGGGTTCATGAGTGGTCTGGATGTCATCTTGGTCGATCATTTTTTTTTTTGGTTCTTCTTCCTTTCTCTGGCGCGTCGGGGTCCTCTTGGATTGCCTGTGGGCCTTCTTGGGAGGTCTCAGGGGTCGTTTTGGAGCTCCGGAGCGAGCCCATGGACTTGGGCGCCTCGTGGGTCGTCTTGGCGCCCTTTTGGGGACGTCTTGGGAGCCTCTGGGCCCTGGACGGCAATGCGGGACGACGTCGCGTTCACACTGCGACGCAAAGAAGGGCACCCTGAAATGCAAGACATGCAAATGATGTCCAATCGGACGCGCGTACTGGGGAGGAAAAGGAGGAGGGGGAGAAGAGGATGGGGGGGGTGGCGGAGGATGGCGGGGAGAAACATCGAAGAGGATGAGGTGAAGCGGACAGGAAAAGGAGGAGGGGGACGAGGAGGAAGTGGAGGAGAAGGAGGGGGAGGAGGGGACACTGAGATGGGCCTCTGGGTCATGGGTTAGAGCTTTCTTGCGTGTGTAACGGGATCTCTTGGGGGGCTTCTCGTGGGACAGTTTCGAAGCCTCTTGGGAGCCGTTCTGGGGCCTTGTGGGGCCCTCCTGGAGGCCTTTTGGGGCTTCTTCGGGGCGTCTTGGGAGCCTCCTGTTAATCAGCTATGCCAGTTGTTTTAAAGCGGGACGAGCGCCGCGGAGAGACCCTCCGAAACGCCCGGCGGAACCAAGTGACGAGCATTGCGACAAGGCACGGAAGTTGCGAGGAATCTGACCGCTGGGGACGGGATGGATAAGGCCCGCGTTTACAGACGTGAGCCATTTATCGGACAGTCAGAAAGAACATTACAGGAGAACGGGCCAAACGCATCGCCCGGTCATGTGCCGCGCGTGCCACGAAAAATCGGAGGCCCAGATTTTCCGTTGTGGAGCATGCCCGACGGGGGCGGATGGGAAGGCGCCCGCGTTCACAGACTTGAGCCATTTGTCCGATAACCAGAAAGTACATTATAGGAAGACGGGCCAGGCGCATCGCCCAGTCGTGTGCCGCGCGTGTCACGATGCGCGCACGGGGGCGAAAAAGTTTGAATGCTCCGCGTGCCCACCGAACGGGGACGGGAAGAAACCAGCGTTTTCAGACGGGGGCCATTTGTCGAAAGACCAGAAGAAGAATTATTTCAAGCGAAACAACCCAGTTGTGTGCGCGAAGTGTTTTAAAGCGGGACGAGCGCCGCGGAGAGACCCTCCGAAACGCCCGGCGGAACCAAGTGACGAGCATTGCGACAAGGCACGGAAGTTGCGAGGAATCTGACCGCTGGGGACGGGATGGATAAGGGGGACGTGGAGGAGGGAGGATGGGGGAGCAGCCAAAGGCGGAGAAGGTGAAAAGTGAGCCAGTGGAGGGAATACGAGACAGAAAGCTGAGAGGGGAGACGGGAGGAGGGGGCGGAAGAGGAGGATGAGAAGGAGCAGGAGAACACGACGAGGACGACAATGGCGGCGACAGACTCGACGGCGTAGGCTGGGCACCTTTTTGGGGCCATCTTGGGGGCTTCGTTGACCGTTGTGGGAGCCTCTGGCGCCGTCGTCGTGAGAATCCTCTCGGGGGCCTGCGGGAGGCAGTTTGGAGGCTTCTGGGGAGCTGTTTTGGGGCAGCTTGGGGCTTTTTTTGGGCTTGTTGGGGGCCTCTTGGGGGCTTCTTGGAGCCTCTTGGAGGCCTCTTGGGGCCTCCTTGGCGCCTTTTGGGGCGGAAGGCTAGAATTTTAGGTTCGTGGTCCCCGTCTGGAGCCTTTCTTGGGCCCCTCTGTGGGCCCTCTTGGACTGTCTGAAGGCCCTCTTGAGCCGTTTTGAGGCGCTCTTGGGCCGTGTTGGGGCCCACTTGGGAGCCTCTCGGGTCGTCTTGATGCCGTCTTGGGGGCTTCTTTCGCCGTCTTGGAGCGTCGGAAGCCCGAAAAAACGCGAAGGCCAAAAACGTTGAAAAAACCAATGGAAATCGACGATTTTGGCCTCTTGGGGCCATCTTGGGAGGCGTCTTGGAAGCTTCTTGGGGCGTCTTGGAGGCATCTGGGGCCATCTGGAGGCCATCTTGACCGTCTTCGAGTGTTTTTTCGGCGACTCGGGGCCCTCTTGGACCGTCTGCAGAGCTTCTTGGGAGCCTCTTCGCTCGTTTGCGGCCCCCCCAGCAGACTCTCTGGAGCGGATGACCCCCCCCGGACCGCGCCGGCGGATCCCGGGGAATCCGGCCGGACCCCCCCCCCCCCCCCTCCAAAACGACCGGACCAGGCTCCGGGGGGAGGGGTTTGGGGAGGGGGGAAGCATCTCACACGCCGATGACCCCAAGGGGTCGGCGGATCTTACCATATTTTCAGGAGGAAGACGAAGACGAAAAGGACAAGGAAAAGGAGTAGGACGATAAGGACAAAGAGGAGGATGAGGAGGAGGAGGAGGAGAAGGAGGAGGAGGACAACGAAGACGAGGAGGACGAGGATGAGGTGATATTTCGCCATACGGTGCTCGTTTCTTCGGCTTTGGAGGCGAAGGAACGACCTCCTGGAGTGCCGACTCCCCAGTGAGCCGTCTTTGGCCTTCGCGAGGATGGCGAGCTGCAGGAAACCATGCGGCAACGGAAGGACACGGCGAAACTGGAACGCGCGGAGGCAGAGAAGCATGGCCGCGAGGCGCCGGACCGGGTCAGCCTCGAAAAACAAACATAATTTGTTGGAGTTGCGTGCGCATTTCTTGGGTTGTTGCTGGGCCCCTGTCCCTGCGGCGCAAGCGCCGCTAGGGGGGCGCACCGCTGGGAGGGCGAGAAGCAGGGCCGCAAGGTTTGGAGCCCGCTGGGGGTCTGAGGCAGCCCGGCACAGAGGAGGAACAGGAACCACCGCCACCGAAAACCCATCGGCTGGGGCTTGCCCCTGGGCGCTGGCACGCCTGAGCGTTACCTCGCATTGGGGTGACGCTGGGGCGTGCCACCGCTCCACTGATGGGTTCCCAGTGGTGGTGGTGGTCCATCTTTCTCCTCCGCCCAGCACTTGTTACGGCCAGCAGGAAGGAGGGGAGCAGGTTCTAAGTCCTGGGTCCGGGAAGGTTTTTTTGTTTTTGTTTTGGATTTTTTCGGGCCCTGGGACTATCAGAAACAGATCCGGAAGGAAAATCTGCGCCAGATGGACCCCAGGAGGTGTCCAGGAACTGATTTTGAATAGATTTGGCTTCATCCCCCTTCCAGGGTCCCAACAAATTCAGACCCCATGGCCGCCTCAAACGCGAGGCGCCCGACCGGGTCCACCGGCACTTCGAGGCTCCGTTCGGGCTCTGCGAACTCGGCGTCTCCGGGCAGGGGTACTCCCCCCTGACGAAGAACAGGACTTGCGGGGAAGAGGGGCAGGGGGGCGAAGGAGGGCGGTATTGGTAGGCCTTCCAAATCGGGTCAGAATAAATGGGGTAGGAGGATCGCTCCGCATCGCCGATGCATCGGCGATGCGGTTCGATGTGGAGCCCTGATTTTTTTCACGCCGACGTCGCCGATGCATCGCCGACCTCGACTGCCCATCGGCAATGCATCGGCGATGTATCGGCGATGCGGCGCCATCCTCCGACCCCATTTGCTCGGATCCCATCTGGGAGGCCTCTAGGAACTCCCCCTCTGACGAAGAACAGGACTCGCGGGAAAGAGGGGTTTGGAGGCGAGGGAGGGCGGTCTCAGGTGAAGGGGCAGGGGCACAGTTGGTTCGGAAACGGGTCCTGAGGGAAACGGGCCCTGCTTTGTTTCGCCGTTGTCAGGTTCTCGGAGCCTGTCCTGGCCACGAGACTATTCTAAAAAAGCTATCAAGGATGAGAGGCTAATCCTGGGGAAGAGGGGGTGTGCGAGGGTGGACGGTATCAAGGGAAGGGGCAGAGGTATACTTGGGTTCGAAGGAGAAATATGTACAGAAGCAGATGTTCGTCACGTGTCCGATCCTGGGGAGTCTTTCAGGAAAGTTCAGTTCAAAATTTAGGCGTGCATGTTCATCGCCGCCTATTGCCGATCGTCCCCATCGGCGTCACGCCCCTGCTGCTCGTGACGCCCTGGGCGCCCCGTGGATTTGATCGGGCAGCGCGCACCACGGGGCGCGCCCAAGAGCTCGGGGCCAGCTGGAGGGAGACATTCCAGCGATCCTGGCGCGGCTTTGGGCGCGCTCAGGGGCCAGAAGCGGACTGGGTTCTTCGTCCTCGGCGCCCACCCCCCTGATCATTTCACGCTGGATGTGGCGCCCTCTGAACGGGGAATGCTGCAGTGCTCGCAGGCTGCTGTGGTGCTCGCAGGCATACCGTGATGCTCTTACTCTTAGGCATGTCGTGGCACTCGCAGGTGAATGTGGTTCTCACAGGCTGGTAGTGCTCGCAGGCGCGCCGTGGCGCGCACACGCGTGATGCGGCGTCCGGCGTGATGTTCTCAGGCATGCTGCTGGCGCTCGCGGGCAAATTGTGGCGTTCGCGCGGGACTGTAGTAGTGGCAGGGGCTGGCGTGCTGTTGTCCATATCCCGTGCCACTGTGGCAATGGCGCGGTTAGTTTTTCATCGCCTCGTGGTCGTTGAAGCGCTCGCAGAATGTTGCGATGCCCGCAGGCATGCACCTGGCGCTCGCAATCGCAATCACATAGAGCTGCTCGCATGATACTTTGGCGCTGGAAAAGAACATCGATGTGGCCGTATCGTAACATACCGCCGCAATTTCTGACGCAATGCGCATCGCCCCGGTCGCCGTGTATTCGTCGCTGGGAACAGGGGATCTGAGGGAGGACACGACGAGGGGCTTGCAACAGCACCGAGCAACTACATTTGTTGAAGCCTGATATTCGCCACCTGGTAGCCCCGCAACGGGGGGGGCGCGCAGATATCGATCGTCAGCGGGGGCTTCTCCCCCCCCAGCATCCCCCCTTTTCCTCGCCCATGTCTTCTCCTCCATTCACCTCTTCCCACTCCGCCCACGGACTCACTCCTCTTCGCATCCTTTCCCATCCTCTACCCCCTTGGCAAACGATGCGCGCGTCTGCCGTTTTTGGCCACCGCGCTGCCCATCCTCCCTCCTCCTCTCCTTGTCCCCCCTCCCTCTCTCGCGTTTTCTCGTCGTTCATCGCGCGCGATATTGCTGGCCGTATAGGTTTCGGGATGCGTTGGCGTGCAACGAGGGCCAACTCGCTGCATGTCGGTTCACGTGGCGCTTCGGTTTGCCAGACGACTTTGTTAGTCGCATTATATGGCGTTGCGGTTGGGTCTGACGTGCGATGCGATCTGTGGTCGGACCTCTCAGTTTTTTTGTGATACCTTTTCTTCCCTCCACCCTTTCTGGGAGGAGGCGGAGGATGCGAGGGCGAGAGGAGGACGGTCACGACGGGGTTCTTTCCTCTACAGGCACATCTGGGTTTGCGTAGTAGGTCGACCTTGCAGAAATCAAGGGTGTCCTTGTCCAAGGGAGGAGAGACCGCCTTGATTCCCACAACTGGCGTTCACTAAGCGGCCCTGGACGTTTACTAAACAGCCCTGTCCTATTCCATTAGTTCCATTCGTTCCTTGTGCGCTGTGCCCTGTCTATCCCTGACTACTTGTGCCCTGTCTGTCCCTGTCCCGTGTCCTTTCATGTCTCCAGCTAGGGCCGCCCTCGAAAGAATCTAGCGTCCTCTCGGGTGTCCTCCTCAGTCAGTCCCAGCTGCAGCAGCAGGAACTCATCGGGAGTCGCGCCGCTTTTGCGAGGACGATCTCGTCCGTGGAGTCGAACCCCGCGCTCGCCGAAAAACGTCCAAGCCGAGCTCTGTACCAATGGCGCCCCTCAGTTGCAATGCAATCAGTGGGGGTGGAGCGTAGGGCGGCATGAGAGGGGAATGGAGCGGAGACGGGGCCAAGGGCCCCCCCTGACGAAGAAGAGTGCTCGTAGAGAAGATTATTGTCGGTATCCAGGACACAGCATGCTGGGATCTCAGCCAACAAGGGCAGGGACGCCAAAGCACATGGATGTGGCATCCTCGGCTTTTTGAAGGCCCACCCCAGGAGTCAAGAAACATTTCCAAGTCAGATGTTGATCACAGTGAGGGGGCCGAACGGTCATTCGTTGTCCCTGGGCGCGCGGCTGAAGTGGGGTTCCGCGGTGCGGAATTTGTGTTGCGTTGCCGTTGCATTTTCACGTCTAAAGAACAATAATTGATGATCCCCCCTCCGGTGACCAGTGCGTTTTTCAATTAAAGTGTTTCTCCCAGGGCTCGCACCATATTTTTTCCCAAGGGAAAGTCTCTCGCCTCAGATTTGGCCCCTGGCCCCCGAACTACCACAACAACGGCTCCCGCCTGATACTTCCCGATCGTGGATTCCGAAATCGCGCTCTCGCGCGGGACCTCCCCACAATTTATCCAGGAATCGCGCGCTCGCGTGGCATTGCCTCGCAATTCACTCGGACCCGTCGCCTTCGACACTCAGGAAGCACGCTCTCGCTTTGGATTTTCTCACGACTTATTGAGGGATCGCACTATCGCCCGAGACCTCCTCGCGATTGATGCGCGACTGACGCTTCAGCGATCCGCCTGCTCGACCCCGCCGTGTGGGCCCGCCCGACCCGCCCTGCCCGACACGCCCGTCTGGTTTTGCCGCTTGCTGTCCTGCTCCCAACCCCCTCCTGCCTGCGAATCGCGCAATTTCTCGCGATTGATGCAGGACTGACGGTTCGGCGACCCGCCCGCTCAACTCGGCCGTCCGGGCCCGCCCGCCCAACGCGCCCGTTCGGGTCCCCCCGCCCGACCCGCCTGTCTGGTTCTGCAGCTTGTCCGCCTGCTCCTGACCCCTCCTCGTGCTATACTCTTTCTCGTGCGCGCGCCATCCTCCTCCCTCCCCCTTGTCTTTTCCCTTCTCACTCGCTTCCCCTGTGTTAGCGGCTGCGTCAGCTACACGTGGCAGGTAAGAAAGATATACCCCCAAGGTGGGTACAATCGAAGACGAAGAGGGCGGGTGTCGAGGGTCTGCGATTTCTATGTTGAGTGGCACGCGACCAGATAAGAGCGAACAGACTTTGAATGCTTGTTGTTGTCGTCGTCTCATCTGCGACCCACCCTGCGACCCGCCCCGTGACCCACCCCCCGACCCGCCCCGCGACCCACCCGCGAACCACCCCGCGACCCACCCGCGACCCACCCCGCGCCCGCCCCCTCGCTCTTATCCGCAACTGCGGGGTGCTACGTATGTCGAGATGCTTCTTTCTCCCGAAGGATGGCCTACATGTTCGTATTCGACTGCAACTCCCAGCACTCCCTGGACGAGGCGCAGAAGGAGTACTCCGAGCAGCAGACGTACCGCGAACGCAAGCGGATCGGCATCCCGAGCCTGTCGTTTGCCGTCGGCACACAGACCGACAGGGAGACGCAGGACAGGGTAATTTCGATCCGATCTACGAATAGATGTCGATTCCGGCCAGCCCGACCCGACTCGATTCCGATATTTTGACGGTCCGATGCGGGCCGATGTTTGCATGAAGCTGTTGTGCATGTTTGTGCAGCTTATCCGATTCGATGTCCAGTCCGTGCCGGTGCAGCCTGATCCGATGCAGATTTCGATTCGATCCGATTCCTCGATTCGACGCTGACTGATTCTGCGGATCGGAGTCGAAGAAGAAAAAAAACGCACAAACAGAACCCGTCGGATCTCCGCGCGGATTTTTTGGACCGCCGCTGGAACCCCCTGGCGGCGCCCCCGGCGACGCGGGGCTTTCAGCTCAGATCCAGTAAATCCGCCCGGAGCTCCGAAAGTTTCTGTTTTTGCATTTTGCTGCGTTCTTCCAGGAACAGAAGCATGTCAAAGAACAGGCGGTAAAGTGGGCGCGGGAGAGGGGCATCGCCGTCTTCTTCCTCTCCGCTGCCAAGAGGGAGAATGTCGATGAGGTCTTCGAGACCGTGTGCGAACACGTGCACAGCACGACCGCGCTGTGGGTGTTCCAGCAGATCGCGGAACAGGGTGATGATGATGCAGCTTCCTCGAAGCAGGGCCAGGACAAGTGTTGTATACACTGACCCGGCACCAACAAAAGCGCCCCTTATCTTCCGCTTTGCTTGGTCTGGCTCCTCCTCTTGGTCCTGTTCTCTCCGCTGTCTCCAATGCTTGACGCTTCGCGTACCCCACCAGCCCATCCAAACATCGACACCAGGCGAGTTTGCGCTGATCAGGGATGTGTAGCGCTCTGATGATAGACCACGCCCGCAGCGACCGACAGACTAAAAGGGGGGCCCGGCTTGAAGCTACCCCCCTCCCCCTTCCCTTGCTAAGGGAGGGGGGGCTTCGGAAGCCCACCCCCTCCCTCCATTTTCGTGGCTGGAAAGGGGAATTTGGAACTAACCCACCCCTCCTTTTTCGGAGCCGGAGTTCAGCCCTGGCTCCCCTTTGAAAGGGGGGGGGTGCTTCGCAAGCTGCCCCCCCTCCTTCCCCTTTTTCGCTGCCAGAAAGGAGGGGGGGCTTCGAAGCTACCCCCCCACTCCCTCCCTTTTTCGGAGCCAGAGGTCAGCCCGGGCTCCCCTTTGAAAGGGGGGGGCTTCGGAAGCTACCCCTCCCCTCCCCCCCTTGTTTCCAAAGAGTGGGGGGTGCTTGAAGCTTCCCTCCTTACCCTCTTTCGGGGGGGGGGAGGGGTCGGAGGGAGGGAGGGGAGAGGGATTGCATTGCAGTGGATTGCATTTGATTGGATTGGAATCGTTTGGATTGCAATCGATTAGATTGCAATCGGTTGGATTGCAATCGATTCGATGGCAATCGATTGGAATGCAGGGGAGGGACATGAGGGAGGAGGGGAGGGATGGAGGGGAGGGAGGGGAGGGAGGGGATGGAGGCAAGCTAGGTGCGCTCGCGTCATATCTGACGTCCTACCCCTCCCTCCCATCCCTTACCATGGCGCTGATTTTCGCGGACGCGTGTCGTAGCGGACCTGTGGCTCCGCGCGCGCGTGCGTAGTGGGTGGTGGTGCACGTGCGTGCGTGCGTGCGTGTGTGCGTGGTTGTGTGTGGTGGTGGTGGTGGTGGTGGTGGTGGTGGTGGTGGTGGTGGTGCTGGTGGTGCTGGTGCTGGTGCTGGTGGTGGTGGTGGTGGTGGTGGTGGTGGTGGTGGTGGTGGTGGTGGTGGTGGTGGTGGTGGTGGTGGTGGTGGTGGTGGTGCGGCGCGGTGGTGGCGGGCGGATGGGCGCGCGAGAAAGAGGCCCGCGCTGGGGCGAGAACGCCATCCTGAACGACGGAGGCCAAACACCGATCCGAAAATGAGGCCCACGCTGCAGCGGGAGCACGATTCGGAACGATTCGGGGGCAGAAATGAGGCCGGCGCCTCAGCGAGAGCATCGTTAAAAAAAAACGCAGGCGAAAACCCGTTTCCCGGGAATCCTGTGTGTAAAAAACAGTACGCGGGGGGCGCTCGGCCCGAAAATGACGCCGGCGCCTCAGCGAGAATCGTTTCCCGGGATTTCCCGGCCATCTTGTGTGTAAAAAACAGTACGCGGAGAATGCGCGGCCATCACCCGGACGCCATCAGGGGAAGAGGGAGAGTATTTTCAAATTGAATAATTGTGGAGGGAGGGGATAGAGAGAGAGGAGGGAGGGGATGGAGGGGAGGGAGCGGAGGGAGGCGAGGGAGCTTAGCCACTCACATTCTCCTCCTTTCGAGAAAGAGGGGAGGAGGCAGAGGAGGGGGGGAGGGAGGTGGGGTCAGGGTGGGGTTCAGGCTTAGGCTTTGAGGTGTACGTGTAGGGTTAGGGCGAGGGCTCGGATTCGGATTAGTGTAGGGTTAGGGCTCGGGTTTAAAAGTTTAGGGCTTAGGGTTAGGGCTTTGGTTAGGGTCTAGGGTTTCGGGTTAGGGTTTTGGTGAGGGTTGGGACAGGGTTGCGGTGATCCCCTCCTGCCTAGGAGCCCACCTGCGGTGGCTGCCAGTCCCACCCGCAAACCACCCTACCATAAAGATCATCTCTCCCTTCGTTGTAAGTACAACGAATGGGAGCGCCTGGGAGCGCTGGGAGCGCTTGGGTGCGCCTGGAACGCCTGGGCGCCCCTGGGAGCGCGTGTTTGAGCCTGGGAGCGCTTGGGAGCGCCTGGAGCGGCGCACGTGGAAGGAAAACTTCACAGGATTATGCACGCATGATCACAACATGGTTTTTTGTTACAAGGAGTGGCAAGGGTGTATGGCGGCGACCGCACGTTTGTATTGTACATCGCAATAGATTCTGCACGCATGATCAGGAAATTATATTTTTTGCAAGGGATAGTGCCGGTTTGCATGCCGGGTCGGGGGCCGGGTCGCACGGGGTGGCTGCCAGTCCCACCCGCAAACCACCCTACCATCTCTCCCCTCGTTACAAGTACAACGAATGGGAGCGCTTGGGAGCGCATGGGAGCGCCTGGGAGCGCTGGGAGCGCTTGGGAGCGCCTGGAACGCCCGGAAGCGCCTGGGAGCGCTTGGGAACGCCTGGAGCGCTCGGGAGCGTTTGGGAGCGTTGTGAGCGCCTGAAACATCATGGAAGTCATATTGTACAACACAGGATTCTGCGACAGCGGCGCACTTGGCAAGGAAAGTGTCATAGGTGTGCGAATGATAAAATATTACTTTTGCAAGGGATGGCGAGGGTTTACGTCCGCGGACGCGCATTTGTATTGTGAATCGAAATTGATTATGCACGCATGATCAGGAAAAACAATTGCAAGGGATGGCGAGGGTTTACGTCTGCGGACGCGCATTTGCATTGCAAATCGCAATGGATCATGCAAGCATGATCAGGCAATAGTATGTTTTGCAAAGGATGGCGCCGGTTTACATCCCAGGTCGTATGTAATCGTATGTGCCCTGTTTTACGGGGTTTAGGGTTTAGTAATTATATGATTAAGAATTTAGGGTCCACCAGCCTAAACTTCAAGCCTGCTGGACGTGTCCTACCCACCAATAGCCCAAGACATACTGATCTCAAAACGACGACGACGATACCGATGATGGAGACGACGATATTGACCTCAAAACGACGACGACGACGCGACGACGACAATCGCGTATAGTCTTCTGGGAAGCCGCTGCAACGGCGATGCGGCACGCGCGCGCGACGACGCAATTTGAAGAACAACGTATGTTTACGCGAGTCCCTGTGCGTCGCAGGGACGCCGCCGGGCGGCGGAGAGACTGCATGGAGTGGTTGCGCAACGAGCGCGGGATAGCTCGCTGCCTCGAGTAGACGGATCCCCAGTTCGCATCCTAAGCGCTGCGGCACGGTGCGCGAAGGCCAATGCAAAGGCGATGCGACGCGCGCACGCGAAGAGACAAAAACGATAGCTCCCCGCAGCAACTTACCGACGTTTTGGCGATGCATACCTGGGTTTGCCACGAGGCGCGCGGGATTGTTCGTTGATTGGCGAGAGCGCTCCCCCGCGACGCGGCGCGCGAAAGCCGACGCATGGGCGATGCGACGCGCGCGCGAAGCGACAAAACGGCACCTCGGAGCACCTTGCCGCTGCCTTGGCGATGCATAAACCAGATTGACGCATAACGCGCGGGGCGGTTCGTTGCTTCCACGAAAGGGGTTCCGCCCTGCGATGTGCCAGAGCTCGCAGAACACAATTCCTGGCACGCCGAGGGCAAGGATCTGCGTGAGGGGTGCGCCGAAATGGGGGGGGGGCGGCATAAGGGAACGCATAAAGGGGCACTGGGGTATTTGGGGTTAGAATTTCTCCAGGCTCTTAGTTCATAGGGTTGACCATGTAGGTTTAGGGGTTGGGGCAAGGGAGAGGGTTAGGCGTCGGGGTTTGGTTTAGGGGGTTAGGATTAGGGCTTATGGTTCGGAGTGAGGATTCGTGATTAAATTTAGAGGGTTAGGGTTAAGGTGTTAGGGTTGAAATTAGGGGGTTCGGGTCAGGGGGTTCGGGTTCGGGTTAAGGGCTCGGGACTGGCGGGCGGGCGCGCGGGCGGGCGGGCGGACTGGTGGGCGGGCGGGCGCGTGGGCGGGCGGGCGCGCGGGCGGGCGTGCGGGCGGGCGCGCGCGCGCGGGCGTGCGGGCGGGCGGTTAGGGTCAGGGGTTCGGATTTAGGTTTTTTGGCTCAGGTTTTAGGGTCAGGGTCTTTGGGTATAAGGGTTGATTTGTTTGCGGGTGAGGGATGTGGAGAGAGGGCATGGAGGTGGGGAGATGAAAGAGGCGGGGGAGGGGAGGGCGTGGAGAGAGGGGAGGGACGGGAGGGAGTGGAGCGGAGGGAGGGGAGGGAGCGGAGGGAGGGGATGGAGGTGGATGGGGAAGGAGGAGAGGAAACGGAGGCGGGGGAGGGTGGGGAGGGTAGCGACGGGAGCGGGGGGAGAGCGTCGCAAAGCGAGGAATAGAGTATAATCGTATTTGTTATGCCCCTCCAGGTTTGCCTAGGGGCGAGTCTAGTAGAATTGTAGATTCTCGATTTCCCGACCTTGCTCATGGCACGAATACAGCATACTAGGATGTTTTCGCCCCCCGGGCGCTACCACGGGATGAGTCGAATAACACAGTTGTTTTGCAATCGATTGCAATCCATTGGGTTGCAGGCGATTCGATTGCAATCGATTGGATTACCATCGATTAGATTGCAATCGGTCGGATTGTAATCGATTGTATTAGAATCGATTGGGTTGCAGGGAAGGGGCGGGGCGGAAGTGAGGGAGGGGAGGAGAGGGAGGGGAGGGGGGCAAGCTAGGTGCGCTCGCGTCATATCTGACGTCCTACCCCTCCCTCCCATCCCTACCATGGCGCTGATTTTCTCTATCCGCGGACGCGTGTCGTAGCGGACCTGTGGCTCCGCGCGCGCGTGCGTAGTGGGTGGTGGTGCGCGTGCGTGCGTGCGTGCGTGTGTGCGTGGTTGTGGTGATGGTGCTGGTGCTGGTGCTGGTGCTGGTGCTGGTGCTGGTGCTGGTGCTGGTGCTGGTGCTGGTGCTGGTGCTGGTGCTGGTGCTGGTGGATGGTGGTGGTGGTGGTGGTGGTGGTGGTGGTGGTGGTGGTGGTGGTGGTGGTGGTGGCGGCGCGGTGGTGGCGGGCGGATGGGCGC